ATTATGTTTGAGACTAAAGGGAACAGTTGAACAAACAAATAAACCAAAGCTCAGAAGTTCAAACTTGTTTTGCAAAATGTTCTGAATGATGGACCTTGGTGACAGTAACTGAATTCATTGTCCTTGCCACACTGCTCTCCTCTTTGATTTAGAAGTAGGCCAGGTCATCTTTGTCCTGCCAAGCACTTAGCCAGCAGGCCCCAGGGCCCACCCAAGGGGTGAGAACCAGAACATCCGAAAGCTCACAAGTGTTGAGGGGTGTTCACAGTGCTTGCTTGTGGAGATTTACTTAACATGAGCTCATAGGTGACGGCTTCTTTCCACACGTTCTTCAGAGCTTCAGGAAGACGGCACAAACAGGAAAACCAAAGACGTATTCTGGCTGTTTTCATTTGTCTGAGTCCTCATGCTCGGCGGCCTAGGCTGACTTGACATGTGCTATAGAGGAAAGGCTTTACAGCGTGGAAAATTCTTGATAAGTGGTCGTTTGGCTTATGCCTTCTTCTCCTGGCCTGACAAGAGAAAAGAATTTTACTGATGGATGTGGCCTGTGACTGGAGAATGTCCTTGTTGAATTTGATGAGATCATGGTGGTTATCACCTTGGATGAACATGACTAATACTGGGCACAAGCACCATGCTGGGTAGCCACAGGAAGGACACTTGCAGAAACAAGGTGGCTCAGTCTGAACCTGCAAAGACTAAAAGCCTTTTCAGTTCTGACTTTTTCAAAAACAACCTTCTCTGAGAAGGGTGGCATCTTTTCAAAGGCCTCAGTCCCTCAAAGACCTTTGTAGAATGGTCCTTTACTAATCATTTTCCTCCCAAAGCAGATGAACTACACTTGGCTTTAAGCTTAAATGACTTCTTAAGAGTTATTTCTATTTGGGCCAAGCTATCCTAGGATGGGATGGCCACTTCCAGAGGATAAACTCTTAAATTATGTGAAAGTCTTATTCTAGTCAGAGTCACCAGAGTAAGCGGCAGTTATAAGCACACTGGAGACCTCATACCCAGCCCTGCATTCTGCACAGAAGCTCTGGCAAAATCACTGAGAGAGTCAGCTTCCTCATTTTCAACAGGAGGAGAGTCTGGCACTTCTGCTTCCTATTGACACTCAATTCATATGAAATCCGTAGAACACAGAAGAGCCCAAGTAAGCACTATAGTTGACCATTGGCTGCCGTGACCTCTAGGATGCTGAAATGTGAGGTTATTTGGCAAAGTGTATGTTGCCTTTTGAAAGAGAACATGTTCTGTAGGCAGGAGATGGGAAATAAAGGAATCTTGCCTATAAAGTCTTGGAGGACTGTACTAGGGAATGCATTTGGACTTCCAAAAGCCAAGTTAGGGAGCAGCTGGGCTGAGCTGCAGATCATTGGTGTCCATGAGAAGTGGCATTTGGGATTTCAAATAGTGAAGGCAAGATAGGTAAACAAAGTGAGAGACAGTTAACTTTCCCTGAACTACAGTTTCTCCAGGACCAACAGGCTTAAACTCTGTTCCTGTGTAGCAGGAAGGACTGCCTAGTTCTTAGGGTAAGCTGCTGGTGGACTAAGAGTAGATCTGTGGAGAATGAATAAACAGCCCAGTATCCATGCAGAATTTGTGTTCCATGACCCTGGTGTGTCCAACTCCAGCAACAGCTTCTGACTTTCACAGGAACACCCATTCTTATGTTCTTGGGCCTCAAGAACCACCCACTCTTATATTCTTGTCTGATTCAGTATCATCCCTCCACCAAAGAAGAAAATGTAGCTTTAAAATAGATTTAATATAGGGGAAAGTCATAGGAGGTTTTGTATATCTGTTTAGGATGCTGCACACTTTTCTGTTTCCCTCTGTGCAAGCATGGGCATGCAAGGCAATTTTCTTCAGCAGTTTCTCTCCATTTCAATGTTTTTCTGTCCTGGAATATACTGATAATCACAGAGTATTTTTCAAAAAGTCATCAGTAACAGTAATTCAATAAAATAATACTAAAACCTTCATGGCCCAAACTAAGCATTACAGAAATAAGGAAACCTGTTACTCCACATTCTAGTTAAAAATAAGTATTTTCCAGCCCCCTCGTGAAGGGACACCACACAATATATTAGTAAGTGAAATATAAAGTTAGAGTTGGTGATGATCACTTTAGAGTCTCTAACCTAAGCCACTTACTAAAATCCAGAAAACTATAATCAGCAGAATTGAGTGATCAGCCATGTGATATAGTCCAGGGCAAAAAAAGGGTTTCATTTTTAGTTTAGTTGTGTTATTGGAAATTGAACCCCAGACCTTGTGCATGTTAGAGAAAAGCTCCTCTAATTACTTTTTAAGGTTGTTGATGTTTTTTATTTTGAAAAATAATTGCTAATTGACTATTCTTCAATCATACTACCAAACACACCAAAGACCAGAGCAAGGATCAGCCAGTTAGTAATTAATTCAGGCTTTATGTGTCAAGAATTTAACAATGTAAGTATTTATATAGTGAAAGAGAAAATGAGTCTCCATGGTTTTTATAGATGAATAAAAATATAGCAATAATTGTGTACAAGTTTACATTTATTTTATTTTTATTGAAATTTCATATATGAGTACTGTATTTACATCATGTCTTCCTTACCTTCTCCCATCTCCAACCCCTCTGTGTTCCTCAGTCTTTCTTAAATTCATGATCTCATGTTTAATTATTCTTGTTTTATATATATATTTATCTATAGATTATTCTCATTTTATATATATATATATTATATACAAATGCATATATAAATGAAATCTTTTGAGTCCATTTAGTGTTGCTGATATATATATATATTTGTGTTTAGGGATATATATATATATATATATATATATTTGTGTTTAGGGATGACCACTTGGGATCAGATAACCTATAAGGTGGCTCTGGTTCTTGAAAAAGACTGATTCTCCTTCTCTTAAGAGTCATTGTTTGACTGTAGTTTTCCATTTATAGGTGGGGCCTCCTGAGAGTTCCTCCATCGGTGTTGGGATGTCAACTGGTGTTATCATTGTATGGGTCCTATTTTGGTGACTGTGTTGCTAGGATGTTATGGGTGCATCACCCTGTCATCTTTGGAAGACATTATCTCACGTCAGACTCTCTGGTCTTCTGACCCTTACAATCTTTTCTCCTCATATTCCGCAATGATCTCTCAATGTATTAAAAACAAACAAACAAAGATAAACAAACAAAAGCAAGTCTACGCCTATGAAGGAAAGTTTATAAAAAATAGAATTTTATTTAATTAAAATTCAGCATTAATGCTCCTAGGAGGCTGATGCAGGAGGATCATGGCCAATTCAGCAAAAGCCTGTCTATCTCAAAGTAGAAATAGAACTCATCACCAACCACAGAAAGGTGGGGCTTCCACTCATTTTGTATAACATCCAGAATTCTGTCTTCTACACCACAATTAAAATTAAAATAAAACCTGGTAGGTTTCCCATGCTCCATTGGATGGCCTTACCCCCATTCACATATGTCTTCCCAACCTATCCCCTTCCAAAACTTTTTTGGACTTGATGACTTATCAGAAAAAAAGTTTTGGAAGGGGATAGGTTGGGAAGACATAGGAGAAACTGGAGAAGACAGATGGGGGATAAATATACAATTATATTTTATTATACAGATATATGAGATTTTTCAAAAATTAAAAATAAAAAAAAAAAGATCAGCCCTTTTCTAGCTCTGGCTTCTATCAAAATGGCTGCTGACTGAATCCTACTGACTATGGTTTGCTGGTGTTAGTTTGCCGCTCCTGTTATCGATACTTGAGTCCTAGCCACAGGGAGGCAAACACTGCTTGACTAATGATAGCCACTGGTTACTGCCTCCCATGGACTCTCACTGGCCCGAGTAGCGGTACAGTTCACTGGATTTCAAATTAAATAACAGGAAGTGTTTCACTTAAGTGGGAGTCACTGTTTCAGCAGAGACTATTAATGGAAAAGTGGTCAGTAGTAAGCACCCTGGCATGAGAAAAGATGCCCATTGTGAAGCAGTGTGTGCCAGGATTAGTCAAGACAGAAAGGGAATGGGAACCTTCTGAATGGTAAGAACAAAGTCGCATTGTTCAAACCACTATGATCTCCCTGTAGACTTGGCTGGGCTATAGCAGAGCTGCTTCAAGCCTGGATTGAGAATGGGGTTGCTCTTTGCTATTATTGTCTTATCAACTATCTTTGGTTAGAAATAACAATGAGTTTCTGAATAGCTGGCTCACTGTAAGGCCAGATTTGAAACCCAGTGACAGATGTAGTCTGGATGTTCCTTCAGTATGACCTGGAGGCTGTCTTTACAATATGCTGGTGATTTTGCCTTCCTCCTTTGCCTGGCTGCTCTGTCTCCTGTTCTGACATGTTCTCACCTACATATCTGAGACTCAGACCACCAGATCCCTAACTCCAGAGAGAGAGAGGATGACAGCAGTCTGGTTCGACATTAGGCAACGGAAAGGCTCATTTCATTTAGATCATTTGGGAGGACCAATGCAAGGGTTGGTGCCCACAGGTAGGGGAAGGGCGTGTAAAGGGGGTGCCCTTCTGAGACTTACTGTAAACTAACTTCTGCATAGAGATTTTCTAAGCTACCTCTTCTGTGTGGTTAAGCTTTCTGCCAAGTACTCTGGAAAGGCATTTACTCTTCTAAAATCTGTTTAAGATCATTTCCCCCACCCATTCTCGAACTAAACCTGAAGAAATCTGAAAAAAATTAAATTATAATACAATAAAATAAAGTGAGTGATAGAGGAAGGAAGGCTTCTTGGAGAGGGATACTTTCTCCAAAACTGTGGAAAGACCTTTGCCAGTGTCAACAGTAGCAGATAAAGATACAGGGCATTCTACTCAACCCGACACATGGTTCTTTATTTTATTAGGAGAATGTACCCAGGGACAAGGGATGTGCAGACTCTTGCTTTTACAATGATGGATTCTGTTGGGAAATGAGTACCACAAGGGAAGTTTCAGACCTGTGGCCTCTGTGTGTCCTGCCACAGGGGACCAGGATGGCTGCTTATTCTGAATAACTGACTTTCAGGTTTTTCTGTATTCCCTTCCTGTGGGTGGTTGGGAAGCAGGATGTGCTAAGTAGAATAGCTTTCTCCTAACACGATATTTTCTACTTAGGGTCATAGAAAGTCAAGTGATGTTAGACAATGCTATTGTGAGGAAATGGAAACAGAAATGACCAACAAGGTGTTCAGTATCACTCACTGCTTTTATGAATGACAATACTTATTTAGAATCTTGAAAGGTCAGTTGGGTATAAGACAAACAAAACAAAACAAAACAAAAACCCTACAAATAATAAGGGCCCTCCACACATGGATTGCCATTTTCCACTGTAGATTTTACCCAAGGTTCAGTATAATAACTTCCCTAGAAGGGTAGCTGCAGCAATCTGTACTGGGAGCTTCTGCCACAGACCACTTTCTGTCAGGATATTTTATTTTTTATATACAGTGAGGACAGAATTAATTTAATTTTAACTCTGTGATCACTGAATGAAATTGAAAGATGTCACCAGCTTTCCTGGACACCAGGAGAGGGGTTTTTGTCCATTTGTCCAGTTTCTCGAGGAGTGGTCCACTATGCTAGTATTCATAAGCACTCAGTAAGCATGAGCGAAATGATGCATGAAGATTTGGAGCATTATAAGTTTGTCCTACAAGCAAAGCCTACTGCTGTGTAAGCTACTTTAGAATACAGCTTATTTGAATGCTTTCTTGTAAATGTTGGCAAGGTTCAGGTGCGGGGAGAGACTTCTGAGAGAGTCCTTGCTTCCTGGTTGTGCAATTTTCATTGACCTTTGCCTCTCAGTTTCTGCTTCTATAAAAGGAAGACAACAACGATGCTACCATGTTGGTGCATCTCCTCTCACTAAATACCTTCACTGAGCTGTTACATAAACGGTTTATGTCTATGTTTATAACAAAGCACCATCTTTTCATATTAATCTTATTTATTATATTATTATGCTACTTAATATAAGCATTCACTTTAATATTAATCACCTCAAACCTCTATTATCCCTCCTATATCATATTCCTACTACATGGTTTTGCGATCTGCAGTGATCACTCACTACTAATGTTTATGTGGGAGAAACAAAACTAGACACGCTGGTCCTCGTAATGTAATATAATGATTAAAACTGCCACAGCTTTACTAATCATTAACACACCCGTGAGGAGAGCTGTGTAAGAGTAAACCGACCCTTTCCTTTCAGCTTTCTTGGAGCTAAACGTAAACATATTTATTTGGGACCAGGTGGCTTCTTCCCCTTCTAACCATGGGCCATGTCTACCTTGGCCAGTTCATGGTGTTGATGAGCTTTGATTGTTGGCCATCCAAAGGGAACATAAATGAGTGTGAGGTAGAGGAGCGGCTGGTGAGCTGCGTGTTTGTTCCAGTGCCTTGGCCTGTGCTCACTGTGCATCACAGCAGTGAGTCCATCCTTTGGCCACCACAGTTTAGCTTCCTTCTTACAAATGTATACATTCACTTAGGCCGAAGTATTTGATGTCCTTCCTGAGACTTGCTCTCCATCGACCTTCTCATCCTGAAGGGTTTGAACAGAAAGTCCTCTGTGAAAGTCGCTGTGTTTTGGGGTTTCCTACACCCGCTCTACCCACCTCATGCTCTCTAGCTATCCCTCCCTTCATTTTGTCCTCTCACGTTTCTGTGGTGTGTAGATAGGTCCCTGGTTCTATCCTGAGTAAAGTGAACTGATGGCCTCTGGAGACTCTAGTTCCTACACCCTGACACTTGCAGATGCTATCTTACCAGGGGAAATGTAAAAGATGTTTATGGATCTGGTGAGTTAACGGTTCCAAGGTGAGGAAATTATCCTGATTTATCTGGCTAGCCTTAAATGCCATTGTAATGCATTTATAAGAGGAAAGGGAAGACTTGGTGATGGTACGAGAATGGTAGACAAAGGATTTCATAGAGAAAACTGCAATGACACAATTCTAGTCCAAGAAACATCAGCTGTCAAGCAGTAGAATGGAGGAAGCATGGAACAGACTTTTTGGACCTTTCTAGAGGGGGTATGTCCCTGCTGCCTCCCTGAGTTTGGTCCAGGAGTACTGAGTTTGGACTTCTGGTCTCCTGACCCATGAGGATTTCAAATCCACTGTTTCCAGGCCACCCTTTTAAATTGATGGTTCCAGTAATTTGTTACGTTAGTCACAAGAGACAAATGTAACTAGACAATCCCTAAATCTATATTTATAATTACCATCTCCTTTCTGAGTGCCAGATCCATACAAACCAATGTCTGTAGCAACCACCTTCACCCCACTTCCAGATTTCCTGCTGAATGTAGAGGAAACCATTACTGAGAACTAGCCACATGCCTGGAACCTTTCCAGACCCTTTAGAAATGTCATCTCCTGATACACATTTAGTACTTGTACAATTCAGTAAGGTACATTAATTATTTATTCTTGCTTTCAAAAGAAAGAATGACATGGAGAATTTCACTATTCTTAAGGTTTTGAAGATAATGAGCTTTCAAACATGGGGTTTACAACCTGTGCCCAAGTCAGGTCCAGCCACCTAGCCTCAATAAGCCAACTGAAACAGCCAAGCTAAAATGGGAAAAGAAATCTGTTCAGTGTGGCCACATTGGGAAGAGAGACATTGAACCTTCCAAGTCCTTCCTTGGGGTCCTGAAGTGAGAGTAAAGTTTAGATAGCAGGCCAAGGATACACACATTTAAACAGTCCCAGACAAGGTGTGATGTCACCCAGCCCTGACCCATTGTTTTCTGGGCTTCAACCTCATCCTGTAAGGTAGTCTGACATGTTAGATCTGTATGAAATCTCCTTTCCTGAGACAAGTTCCTCTTTTAGCTGGTACCTTTTTCTTCTCCCATATTGAGATTCCTGGGGAAAGTCCTATTCTTTGGGAGTCCAGCATTTTAATAGTTTGATGGTCTTATTTTTAGAATACCCTCACTCTTGTCTGGCCGTTTACACTTAGAGCTAAGCTCTGGAGCCTAGAGTGGTCTAGTTTCAGAGACAAGTCCTGGTTTAAAAAAAAACAAATACTCTGGCATGCCACATTGCCTGGTGTCTCTGGGTACACAGAACACACTGTTGGCCCTGGCATCGGTGCCCAAGGCCTCAGGATATGTAACCTTAGCAGCATTTTGACAACTCATTATAGAGCTCCAACTACCTGTTGGGTGCCCTGTAAGCTTCTTATGCCTGTTATCAAGTGTGACTTGATGTTCTTTCTCAAATATCAAGCAGTCCGAGGCAAGCACACTCCAAACGTCATGAAACATCAGAGGTCAAGCCGTCCGGAGAAAACCTGAGATGTGCAGGAATTCTTGCTTCCTCCTGAAAGTCTCATGTCTACTGACACAGTCCGTCTATGGACTACTTTGACTGCAGTGCTTCCAGGGGCCTCTGAGCCATGTGAGACTAAAACCAGCAGCTTCCCTTTTAGCATTTATGGAGCTCAGCACCCCAGGACACGTTTGGTGTGCCTGGATCATTCACACTTCCCTTCTTCTTTCTTTCCTGCCATAATCACTTGAAACACCGTCAATAACGTCCGTTGTGATATCTTCATCACCCACAGTACCTTGTATGTTTGCATGTGTTTGTGTATGTGTGCAAGCATGTGTGTGATCAAATTACTCTTTTACATAACTCTGCAAACGCAATTTTATTTTTCCATTTTGTGGATGATTGTCATGCTTGGAAAACTAGCTTATTTGACCCACATCACGCAGCTAGTCAGTGGCTGTTTGGAGCCAAATACTAATATAGTAACATAAGCAGATGATTGAACAGCCTAACAAGATTTCTTAACCCCATCAACATTATTTCATCACCTCGCTGTAGGGCGGGCTGAAGGAGGGAGCAAAAGAGAACTGAGCTTGTATGCTGTGTTTGTTGCGTAACCACTTCTCCAGGTTTTGCCACTAGACACGATTCAATAGCCACCCCCTCCCCCCCATCACCCCAAAGTATATAAGCAGAACAGACAGCTGAAAGTGACTCTCTGACAAGTGGAGCTTTCTAGAAGAGGCTCCATTCAGCTGAAGTGCCTTGAAACAGTGATCAGGCAAGCCTCCTAGAAGAGGCTCAGATCAACCTAAGCTGCCTGCAAAGACACTGTCCAGCCTGCTAAGCTGCCTGCAGGCTGTGCAATACATTCCACATTTCTGTTTTTTTTTTTTCTGGTAAACTGTCATCCATGCTGGGGTGGGCTATTGATGACACAGCGGTCTTTAACTCATTCTGCTCCTGTAAATAGCTCCTTGCCCATATTCCTGCGAGCAACTCCCCCAGTAAAACTCACTGGTTCACCAGGTTGAACTGGGTGGTGTCGGTACTTCAGTCTTCCATCATTTCCCTATCTGGGCTGAGTAGATGCTTGTTCACATCTCCCCGGGAAGAGTGTGATCCACGGATGAAGCTTCCATGAGTTCCATGCTTGTTGGGGTTTTCAATGACACTGCTGCCTTTGAGTTATCCAGGCTCCTCCTGTGAGTGACATCTCACCCACATTCTTCCAAGTAACTCCAATACACTCACTGGCTTACTAAGGTAGACTTGGGTAGAATCACTTCTTTAATCTGTTGTCACTGCCAAATCTAGGTTCATGGATGCTTGTCTTCACAAGGAAAGTGACATGGTTGGTGCCTATAGAGGGAACAATAGAACCAAACACAAATCAGGGAAGAATGGATGCCCTGCTGCTGTAATGGGCTCTGAGATATGCAACCGATTTGTGGGAGGGTGCAGCATCCTCCAACACCGGGGGCAATCTCAGACTGACTATCTTTCCTCATACGGAGCACAATACTCCTGTGATGGGAAACTCGGATCAAGCTTTCTGAAAGGGGTATGTCCTTATGGGAAATCCCTGGGTTGCTGGCTTTCTCTGTCAGTACTTCTCAACCACCCTAATGCTGCAAACCTTGACACTTTAAAATGGTTCCTTATGCTGTGGTGACTCCCAACCAAAGAATTATTTTCATTGTTACTTGATGACTATAGTTTTGCTACTGTTATGAATCGTAATATAAATATCTGTGTTTTCTGATGGTCTTAGACCTGTGAAAGGGTTGTTCGAACCCCCAGAGGGTTTGTGACCCACAGGTTGAGAACCACTGTTCTATGTGCTATGGGGAAGCATACTTCCCAGATGAATGATGTCTACCAGTAGGTATGGGGCTGGCCGCCAAACAGTTGATGGACTAGAGAATGTATTTTAACCCCTGAAAGCAGAATATGTGGGATGGAATCAGAAAGAGGTTATGAAGTATATGAGGGTCACTTGTGTAGTTTGTTGCTGGTGATAAGCCCTGCAGCTGAAGCCTGGTTGTCCTCCCAGCAATAACTTGCCTGCATAAAGAAGGAGTCACACTGGGAAAAAGACATGGAGATGCTAAAGGCTACATACATTAAACTCTCTGATTTGAAAGAGAAAATGGGTAACAGGAAGAAAGAAATGGAGGTGTTTGCTTGCTGTGCCTTACAGCTGAAGGATGTCAGGGAAAAGAGTGTCAATTATTGTCATTTGTTAAATAATCTTTGGAATCTATGAAAAGAATCAGATAGTTATAATAGAAGTAATGTAATATAGACCCAAGAGCTGACCTTTAATACAGAGCAAGGACGAGTACCTAAGTTAATATGCAGACAGGGAAGAAACTATGGTAACCAGAGAATTGTCATCAGCATCTGAACTTTGTGAATTGTGAGACTTCTAAAAAAGCAATTTAAGAGCCTCTCAGAGCTTTGTTTATAAGGCTATGGAACATGGAGTGGTATCAGTCTGAGGAATGTGGAAGCAGAGAAACAGGGTAATATACTTATCCATTCTGCTTCAAGACAAAAAAAATAATAATTTGAGGCAATATGAAGGAACTCAGCCTCTGATAGCTTAGAATATCCTATGCATTAGAGATACTTGGTTATCACTGGCTGAGAGGTACCCATGAATAACAGGGACTGGAAGACAGTAAAGAAAATAGGTACAGGCACTAGAGAATTGAGCAAAGAGAGATATGACTGATTCCCAGTTCATTTTCACTGGGTTGGATAAACCTATGTTAATGGGTGATTAAAGAAAGTATTTGATTCACCAAGGACCTTGGAACTCATTTAGGACTTTCATAGTTTTCTGCCTTTCATTGTGGAATATAATCTTATGAGATAAGAGATACATTAGCAGATCTGAATGACTTAGAGCAGAATATAAACTGAATTTATAAAGTGTTAAAGCAAACAAGAAAATATGGGAGAAAGGGAAAGTAGACAAAGGGGTCTGTTTATATCACTCAAAGGCAAATGTGGCAAGATTTGTGTGGGGCCAGAATTCCTAGGAAAAAAAACTTAGCAGAAAGCCAAATACTGTACTAGTGAGCTTCCAGGAAGCATTAAAGCTTGAGCAATAGCTTGTGGAAAGCAAATTACAAAACTGTGCAAGTGGAAAAGATTAGGCTCGTCATCCTATGGGTGAGCAATTATTTCCTTAGAGTATGCTGTGCCTATTACTTCCCACAAAGAAAGTATACTGGTGAGTGGAGATTGGTCATCTACTTTATGGCCCTTTCAGTAGTCAAGGGTAGTTGAAGGGAAGGCAAAGGGTGCAGAGCTGGCCCAGAGCCTGTCAGAGCAAAGCAGCTGGCTCCAGCAGTAGGCATGGCAGACTAGGGTGCATCTCTACTCTTCCCTGTGTCTGAACTGTCTTAGCAGCACAAACACCTTCCAACACCATCAGTGCTGGGGAGATGCACCTCAGCTCTGTGGCAGGAGCTCCTGAGGATGGAGACCCAGGATGGCTCATAGAAAAGAGCATGGTTTACAATGGACTACATGAGATGACATCTGCTGTCATCTGTTGTAGCTATTGTCATGCTGTTGTATTCTGTAGCCAGAAGTTTTTTTTGTGTCCCTCCTGGTCCACAGTCACTCAGACCCAAGTAAACACACAGAGGCTTATATTAATTAAAATTGCTTGAGGTTTACTACTGACTAGCTCTTACACTTAAACAAACCCATTTCTGTTAATCTATATGTCGCCATGTTTTCTGTGGCTTTACCTATGTGCCATTACATGCTGCTCCCTGGATGGCGGCCTGGCATCTCCTGACTCAGCCTTACTCTTCCCAGAATTCTCCTTGTCTGCTTATTCCACCTATACATCCTGCCTCGATACTGGCCAATCAGTGTTTGATTAAACCAGGGTACAAAAGCATTATTCCACAGCAGTAGCCAACACTGTTCTCTTGAAGAAACAATTTACACAAGTTATGGGAATCTTTTCATGTATTATTGTACCTTGCTGATGTTTCTGTTTTAGTATCTCATTAGCCATCCAAGACCAACTTGATTCAAGTGGACCTCACTAGGATGTCAGATACCCTGCCCAACCTCTGTCAAAAGGTTTCTTTATGTAGTGCTAACCCCGGAGTAGCTTATAGATTTGTAAAAATATTTAGAAGAACAGCCAAAATACCAGTTAAGGAGTTAAGCAAAGAAATGTCATGTGAGTGGAAAGCGGACTCCTGGGAGCATTAAATTGTTCAGTGAAAATTCTAATACAGGGATGAGCTACTTCTAGATGGGTTGTTGTTCAGGGAAGTCTCCAAGATCCCCAAATAATAAAGCGATTACCACCACTGTCACTTGCATGACAGACATAGACAGAAATTCCCTGTTGCTGAAGATAGTATACACTTTTGTTGTAGACTTGAGGAAATCAGACTGGGAATGAGATGTCAGCAGAAGATAATGAAGGGAGACTATAAGAACTAGTGTAAGGGGTGGACTGTTGTGAATTCAAATACCCCCAGCATTCAGAAAATGAAATATGTGTTTGCATTACAGTTTTAGAGGTTTCAACCCATGGTCAATTAACACAGTTGCTTTTGTGCACATGGTGAAGTTGTGTAGTGGGTAGCCATTCCAGTTTTGATCTGGAAGTTCCAACCCCCATTGAGGCTTCAGTAACTGTCACACCTACAAGGCAGGGCCTAGAGACGACCCTAAAGACCCGAGATCTGGATGCGCCGGCTCTCTTGGTTCCTGGACCCTGGACACTGGAGGTAGACCAAGCAGAGTTCTCCAGAGAACACCACTGGACTGTGCTATGTCTTTCCCTGACCGTGCAACTTACCTATCCCTTCATTTGTAAGTTACACCACTAAATAAACCTCCCTTTTAACTACCGGGAGTGGCCTTAATAATTTCACCAATAAAGTTGTGCATAAGGGATGCTGCTAACCACCTGGACACCATGAAGTGATGAGAAAGAAAGGAATGACCTTTGAGTATCCCAATACCCTGTTGTGGGCATGTCCTTAACAGCCTAGCTTCTTCATGAGGCCCAAAGTCTTATCTACCTTATCACCTCCCAATAGTGCCACAGGCCGAGGAACCAAGCCCGTTCACACATAGGCTTATGTAAGCCATAGCATGAGGTTTTAGAAGGAACGAAGTCTGGTTCTTTTCTTTCCCTAAAGAATTTACAGCATAATCTCCATCTCTAAGGTTGCCCCAGTTTAATGCACAGTGGACTTTAGTAAGTTTTGATAGTATTTGTATATAACATATGTTATTGAGATATGAAGATCTTCTGCATCAAAGAGCTCTTCCTATGAGTACAAGAGGACAAAACCGTCTGTGGGACAGCTCCCCTAAGCAGAGGTGGGTCTTCTCTGAGGCTAAAGAAGTTGAAATCTAGGACACTTGATTATTTAGGCATGCCTTTATTATTTTTTATAAAAGTAAAATATTTTAGCTCCCCTCAAATTTCAAACTCTTTCCATATGAAATTCCTTTTCTTAGCCTCTCATATTAGGGAGCTTTAGACTGTCTGTGGGCATTTGACTTTTGGCTAATAAGGAATTGATCTTGGGATGCCTTTGTTTGGGTTCAGTGGGAGGTATTAATGCCATTGGCAGTCATTTCCAGGTACAGTGATAATTGCTACCTTCTTTACATAGACATGCTTTCAAAGTCCTTTGCCCAGGCATTTTTGTGTGACAGATGAAAACATAAGACCAGAGGTTATAATGTGATATGAATATATTTTGCAGAAGTATGAAGTACAGGATAAAATAGGTTTAGAATATTCAGACACTGAAGCGTCTTTGTGGTTGTTCTTTAGTGAAAGTTATAACTAAAGGTTTTGTTTTATACTGATGTCATGTACACTGAGAAATTATCTCATTTCATGAAAGGCACGAGAAGGTAATAAAAGAGTGTGCCACCTGAAATGTAACCTTTAGAAAAACTACTGCCCTAAGATACATCAGAAAGCTAATGAACACATGGTGTTGTTTTTTATAAAGTCTGTCTAGTGAACAGGTAGCTGTCATCACTTTCCCCATCCACATCACAGTCCTTTTCAACCTGTTATGGGGGCCTAAAATATCAGAATTAGAGGCATAATCCTGTGTTTAGAAAATGTTTGTTGCTAAGAATGAAATTACTACAAAACAAATGTTCCTCTAAGCAATGCCATTGTGCAATAGATCACCATTAAGTACCCCTTACTCCTGAGATCTCAGATATGTTGCCATGGGCTACAAAAACCAAGACCTTTGGGAGACACCTCAATAGTAGCACATTGTTGAGGAAGAGGCTATGTTGGAAAGATGAAGCCAAGGATGAGGATGATGATGGGCACC